ATACTTATTTTTCTTCTTTATAAATGAAATTAGAATCCACTAACAATTTTTGTTTACATCAATGCATATATTCTTTTATTTACATGATTAAAAATGCATTATATATTATATATATATATATATATATATATATATATGAGCGATCAAATGAAAACCACTCCAATTTGTAAAAACTACTCTCATCCATCGTTAATCTTATGAATTTTTTTTCATGAAATTGTTAATTTTGTGAAATTGTTTCATATAATACTTTTTTTGATGAAGTTGTTTCATATGTGGTTATGAAATTGTTTCATATACTACTTAATGAAATTTTAATGAAACTGTTTTATGTATTTCTCTAAAATTAAAATAATTAAGATGATAGTATCCATGATTAACACCCTCCACAATAAAAATGGTTAATCAACCTCTTATAATTATAAAAAAATGAACAAAATGAAAAATTATGATTGGTTGAATGAGGTTTTCACGGTTTTTACAAATTGAGTGGTTTTTATTTGAACTCATCCTTATATATATATATATATATATATATATATATATATAATTAAAGGAACAACCAAAGGTAAATGATGTGGCACAATGAGGTTTGAAATTTTAATTTTAATTGTGATGTTAAGTTGATTATCCACATTGATAGAGAGAAGAAATTTCCATAGATATTATGAGTATATAAGGAGTAGTTGATGTGTTGAAACTTGAAAGTTTTGATTGCTTAAATATAATTTCCGGTCACCATCTTTTTTAGCAAGTTGGTTATTTCACGTTAATAGATAAAATAAATTTGACAAATGTTAGTAGTATAAAAGGAGCAGATAATTAATTGAAATTTGAAAAAATTTGTTGGTTAAATTTAAAATTTAGTCACTTTTTACAAAAAAATATTTGATTAAACTAATAAAGTTAAATCATTTTAGCCGAATCTTTTTTTTCTTTTTTGCAAAAAAATATATTTATTTGTTAAATATAACCATGTCTAAGACAAATATTAGTAGTATATAATTAATTTAAATTTAAAAAGTTTTAGTTGGTTAAATTTAAAATTTAGTCTTTTTTTTCCAAATTTTTTTTGATTAAACTAATAGAGTTGAATCATTTTAGCACAATTGTAAAAAAGAAGTATTTATTTGTTAATTATAACCAAATGTAAATGATGTGTACAATGAGGTTTTAGAATTTCTCAAATCTTGGATTGTGGTGGTAAGTTAATACCACAATGATAGAGTCAAAATAGATTCACAAATAGTATGAATATATCATAAAAAGATGCTGAATTGAAATTTAAAAATCTTTGAGTTAAATTTGACGTTTAGCCACCATCTTTTTTCAAAAAGTTTCTCAAATATTTGACTGTAATGTTGAGTTGATTATCTCATATTGATAGAGAGAAGAAAGTTTGAAAAACATTACAAGTATATAAGAAGGAGACAATGAATCATAAAGTTTGATCTAAAAAAATATTTTTGTGTTGGTTGAAGATGGTGTAAGGGCAACTCCAACCATTACTCTAAAAAAAACACCAAAAACACCAAATCTGGTGGGCCCATAAACACAAAAAAAAAAAAAACTCAACTCCAATCACACTCTAAAAAAAATCAAATTTGTGGACTCCACATTAAAATAACATATTTTATTTACTATTTTTAATAACAATATTTATAATTTGTAATAGATATTTAAAAACGATAAAATTATAATTAATAAATTTTATATTTAAAAAGATTACATTAGTTAAAATAGCACAAATTAAGAAAACACATAAATAATACTAATTCTCCGAGTTAGTATACTCGTCCCACAAATGATCAATTAATGCATTACGAAGTTCAAAGTGAGCATCTTTATCTTTGATCTTTTTGTGTCGAGCAAGAAACTGTTCAATTCCACCATCGTTCATCATCTCAACTCCCACGTCTTGCACTTCACTTCGTTCTTCAATTGGTGCATTAATATCACGTTCATCTTCTATGATCATATTATGCATAATGATGCACGAAGTCATTATATCATGCAAGATTTCCTTCCTCCATAACCGTGCATGTCCTGCTATTATTGCAAACTTTGATTGCAATACGCCAAATGCACGTTCTACGTCTTTTCTACATGCTTCTTGTTTCTTTGCAAAATATTGTTTTTTAGGGCCACGTGGATCGTGAATAGATTGAACAAGAGTGACCCATTTTGGATATATGACATCAGCTAAATAATAGCCCATATTATATGATTTTCCTTTGATGACATAATTAGCAGAAGGAGCAGTACCTGCTGCAAGATTTGCAAAAAGATAGGAGGACTCCAACACATTAATGTCATTGTTGGACCCCGGTAAACCAAAATATGCATGCCATATCCAAAGATCATAGTCAGCTACAACTTCAAGAATAATACTTGGAGATCTACTACGACCGGAATATTGTCCTCCCCAACCTGTTGGACAATTCCTCCATTTCCAATGCATGCAGTCTACACTACCTAACATTCCTGGAAAACCTCGTTGTTCTCCAACTTGGAATAGTCGTGCCACATCATTAGCATTGGGTGTTCGGAGATAGCGTTCTCCAAACACCTCCACGATGGCACGACAAAATCGCTTCAAAGCTTCTAAAACCGTCGATTCGCCTATTTTAAGTTGAAATGAGGAATCCAAGTGGTGCTTCTGAACAAGATATCGTAAGTATTTATTGTTTTACTTGATCATTGTTTTATTAATTTAAATATAACGTGTATTTTTCATAGATGAACGAAGTGAAAGAGCTGTTAAAACTTGATGGATCCTATAAGAAGGGTTTTAAGTTTGATCATGTCTGGAACATCTTGAAAGACTCCGAGAGTTTATCAAATGTCACTGCATCAACTTAGTATCAACGACAAAGTCCTTATCAATCACCTTCTTCCGGTCCTGGTTCATCGTCTGGGACAGATGCCGGTTTACTGTCGTTGACTATTCATGACKTAGAAGGTACTCAAAGACCAATTGGTGTGAAAAAGGCAAAATCAAGGCTACAATCTGATAATAAGCTAGAGACTTTAGTTAAGGCTAGTAAAAAAATGAGCAAACATATGGCTAAAACCACTGAAGTTATGATACGAAGGAATGAGCTTCAAGCTCAGAAACTTGCATTAGAGGCAAGGTTGGCGGATGACAAACTTATGTGCATCGATCTAACCTCTATCACTGATCCTGTGTGGTATGAGTTCATAAAAAATGAGAAAATTCGAATAGCGAGAGAGAGAGCGCAACCCCAGGTTCATATGTCTGGACAAGGATCAGAATTCGTAGCATCTCAATATCGAGTATCTCAACATCAACAATTTGGAGCAGCTCAAGACCAACCCGAAGGATCTCAAAACGTAGCAGGAAGTTTTAGTCAGTTTATGCCTAGCGGAGATGATTGGACCCTTTAATTTATGTATTTCAGTTTTTAAAATTTCCATTAAAAAATACATTTACGTTTATCCAGTATCATATTTATGTTATTAATAATTTATTATATATATATAAATTTAAATAATAAATATAAAAACCAAAAATTTAATATTTGTAATTATTTATTTATTTATAATTTATTTAAAAATCATTAATTATTGAAAAAAAGATGGTGGGGACCACCAACTTTGGCAAGATGCCGTTCTTCTTCTCCCCGGCATATTTGCCGTTCATTTTCAGCAACCGGTATAGATTTAGTGTTTTTGGAGGTCAATTGGATCCAAAAGAACGGCAAAACTAAGGTTTTGCCGTTCGATTGGAGTTGCCCTAATTGAACAAAATAAATCACATGTAATTTTTTTTTCATAAAGTAAACACAAAAGTATATAAAATAATATTTTAAATCATAGTTTTTGATGGAAAACATATTGTAAAAAAATATTTTTTATATCCATTCTTACAAATTAATAACTTTTTTATGTTTCTCATTTGATTATCATCCCCTCTCAAACACACACACACACACACATATATATATATATATATATATCATTAATATAATAATTAGAATATTAATGATGGTGAATAACATTTATTAATTAGTTTTTAAAAATGTTTATTTATTGATTTGTATTTTGAAATTTGTATTAATCCATGTTTAAGTCTCAAAATACAATTCACAATTTTATAAACATGTAATCATTACATTTTTTAATTAACTAAATGACAATTCGATCATTCATAATTGAGAGATTAATGAATTCTCTATCTCATAATTAAGAGTGGAGTTGAAAATTGATATTACTTTTTGAACGTGGACACTTATTTTATGACAAACTAAAATAGAAATAAAGACACTTATTTTAGGACAGATGAAGTATTTCTTTTTGTTATTTGTAGACATCTTTCGTTGTATAACAGTGAATTATTCTCTATAGTAATTAATATGTATTAATGATCGGTTAATATATTTTCATATTATTTATAGACTAAATTTTTACTTACCACATTTTTGTACGTATATTTAGTTACTGTACTATTAAAACGTACACTAATTTATTTCTTAATAAAAATTGATAGAAGGTATCATTATTTTTTTTTAAATATGATTTTTTATAAATTATTTTTGTAATTTAAACATTTTAGAGACTTAATTTAATCAAGATACCCAGCTTTTCATAGAGACGCACCTACCGAATAGAAACAGAAAGCGCCATTAAAAAGGGAAAATGATACCAATTGCCAAGTCATCATGTGGGCCACCCTACCTCAAATGGAAACTACATCATACCAAATATTTTCTACAAACTTAACAGTTAGAGTGTTTGGGACTGTTTATTTAAAATAATTTATGTTTTTTTATAAAAATATTTATTAATTTATTATAAGTTAGAAGTGTTTAACTTTTCTAAAAACTTTTTATTATCGGTTTGATACCGGTATAAATTATTTATCGAAACATTCAAAAATGTTTATTACCAGTACCATACCGGAATAAGTCGTTTTTATAAGCAATCTCAAACACCCCCTTAATCGTTTTCCTTAAATTTATAATAATTAAATAGAATATGTAATTGATAATCAAATATATTAATTATTATTTAAATTGACCAAAACTTATAAATCAAATAACAATACCAGTTTTTCCAATTACCTTGAAATGTTTTCGATAAGTTCTAGAATTAAAAGTTATTATCCAATTTAAAAATAACAAGGCAAATAGCTGAACAATTATCATAAAAATCAAATAAATTAATTCCATAAGATTTTATAGTTTTGTCTCTACTTTAAAAATATGTTAAATATTTGACATAATAAAACATGATTGAGTTTAGTTAAAAACGTAAAAATATATTTACATCCTTTGATCAATTATAATTAAATGTTAACTAATGAGGTGCACCACATCAATTTCCTTCTAAAACACGACTCATAGTTGAACATGAGATTAAAAATGATCAATGATTCGGATTTATTCTTACACTTCTCACATAATTCTTCGTCTAAGAAAGCAATTATGTACAAGTATTTGTGATAAAAATCAAATGCTATAAAATATTAATAAATAAAAAAAACTATACCGACCACGATACTCGTAAAAACTTGATATTATTTAAGTAATAGCAGATCGATAAATCGAGATTTAATTGTAAACAATTAAAAAAGATAAAAACAAAATGATATTGAAAACAAAGCATATAATCATGGGGACCCAGTTGCCATGATTCAAATAAATAAAGATTTAAAATTTAGAAAAACAATGAATTGTATTTGACGATAATATTGACTCTTCAATACCACACATCAACTATGAAGCTACATATAATCGTATTTTAGGAAAGAGTTATATGAGTAGTTGTCTTGTACTTGTAGTTTTTATATGCAATTGTATCCACATACGTAACTTCAAAATTAATACTCTTTAAACATTTGTTTTTGGTTTTTTTCGTATATAAATATTTGTACAAGATTTAATAATCTTCCAATTCATCATTAAAAATTTGCTTCAATTCATTTGACATATTTTATTATACGAAATTAAAGATATCTACAAACGACATCCTTAACACAAAGTTGATTCGGGATTATTATTTGATTGAATTCTTAAAAAGCTTCTATGAGGCTCCACAAGAGGGAAACAAGATGCATTAATACTATAACGTTATAATTTAATTGTTAATTTAGTAGATAATTTAATCAAGTGTTTTATTAGTAAAATACATCATAAAATTAATTAATCATAAGAAAATAGGCTATGATTACGGCTCTAAGAATTGTTAATATTTCATATCAAGTTATTATATAGTTTAATAAAATTATTAAAAATAAGTTTTGAAGTATATAAAATATGAGAATTTGGTAAATTAAATTAAATTAAATATTTATCGAATATTATGTGATAATAAATATTTAGCGAAATGTTACGTATTCTTTGACATAATAAAAAAAATTGATCATTAAAAATCAAATTTGAGTTTTTAAAATTAATTCCAAAAAAACTAAATTATATCCACGCACATAAATAATTCATTCATTCATTCACAGCTCCTATAAAAGCCTTTTTTCATCTCTGCGCCACACCCATCCCCACTTCCCCCATCTCTTCTCTCTCTCTCTCTCTTCGCTTTCTCTGCACTAACAACCATTAAATCTGTGAAGCTCACGAATCGTCTATCTGTAACGCCGGTGAAGGAGGATAAAACTAGGTCAGATGACGAAGGAATACTGGCTGGAGGCGGCGTTGACGAACGATACCCTGGTGGCGGAGTTTCTGTTACGATTGAAACAATCTTCCTCTTCAGATTCATTGCACGCTCCTCCACCACCGCCATCATCAATTACATCTCTTCTCCCACCTCCTGGATGGGGCCATCGTAAGAATCGATCCAAATCCACGCCTTCAACCACCATCGTCATCGCCAAAGATCAACGTGGAAGCCCTACCACTCATCTGTCTTGGAGCGGCGCCTCCACCAGCGATGGTTATGAGGAATCTAGTCGTCCATCAGATCTCTCATCTGGAGGCAGATCTATCAAGGTTTGTATCTCTAATCAGATTTCTCTCTTCCAACGATCTTTCTCCATCTATTGCCGGAAAATTACATCCACTTCACCGACGTTCCTTAACTCCGTCTTTCAATCACACATTCTCTTAAATCGTTTATGGGATTTTTGACTTTTTTTTACCTAAACCCGGTGTTCATCCACCTGATCTGTGCCACGTCAGACTTTTCCGGCCGACGTTCGGCCTATCAGTTGGCTTACAGAGTTACACTGTCCTCTTTTGATTAGAAACGATATACATCTAAAGAATAAAAGCGACAAAAAGATGATGTTTTACCTTTTTACCCTTATCATCTTTACCTATATAATTTACCATATGTGTAGTTTGACTTCCGATTTCTTTTCAAATGGACGGGAATACCCTTCATCGGCGACTTCGCCGACGGTAAGGTTTTTTCTGTCAAAAGCTGTTACTCCGGTTGTCATTTAAGTACGAAAGCACGCCATCAGTTATCGGGAAAGGTACCCAAAAGTTTGTTTTCCCTGTTTTTTGTGGAGTGATTTCGAGGGGTATTTTTGTAAAATAAGCATGGTTGAGCTGGCGGGTCGTGACTCTTAACTGACAATAACGCATCAAGATCAAGATCCAAGAAACTTGAAACTTGTCAAACACGAGTTAAATATTTTTTGTGGACAAATTTACCCTTGCCGGTCGTCTTAAATTCCATACTATAATGCGGTTGGTAGTGGCTTAGTGGGGCTAGGGTTCGTCACATTAAAGCAAAAATAAAAGGGTTGGGGGAGGTGGTCAGCCACACCAGCGGGGGGCAGTTTTGTCTTTTACTCATTATCTGTTTCTTAAACTTTTTATAAAACAATATATTTCCTTATTTTAATATACCAATTTATTGCTCTTGTTTTACTTTCTTCTAAATGGTTTTTATTCCGGATCCTGCATGGATCTTTTCTCGGATCCATGCCTCTTTTTACGGTTCTATCCATTTTAAAATATGATTTTATTTTAATTAATTTTGATGATAATAAATATCGAAGGGAATAATCCCAAATTTTGGATATGTTTGGCGTGTGAGAGTTTGTCGGCATTATCTTTTTGACTTTTTTATATTCTTTCCGAAAGGGTAAAATTGTAAATACATACAAAAACTTCCTACTCTCTTCTTAAAGAAAAAAAAATATTATTTAATCTTTATATTTCTTTAAAAATATTTGCAGGCTAACGAAGGGGCATCCACATCTGGCTACAATAAATCCCTCAAAAGAAAGGTTAGTTTTATTTTTTTGTTACATTTACATACACCTATTTTTGGTTTTTAAATACGATAAATAATGTGCATATCGATTGTTAATTTGTTTGAAAAACAAGACAAGAGAGAAATGTATAAATATCGAGTAGGAGGGGTGCATTTAGTTATCTTTTTGTGATTCTGAATTTGGAAATAGCAAAGTATATTAAATGGGTTACTTTTGATTTGCAGTCCTTTGCTGAACTTAAGGAGGAAGAAGGTTCTTTATTGAAGGAAAGGATGCATATAAACAAGGTATGTTCTTTTTAAGGTTTAAAATCTTGTTGCATTAATTATTAATGTGTGTGATTATAAAATCTAAACAGGTTCTTTTTTCTAAAAATTACCAGGAATTGGCATCGATGCGTTCGAATTTGCATCAACAAATGGCTACCAGTGAGAATTTGAAGAGAATCAAGGTATGGTGAAGTTGCTGATATTCCTTTTTACTGTTTGTATTATTTGTGAATACTTCATCTCATCAAATGTAAATCTCGTTAAAATGCCAGATTAATTATGATGAAAATCCAAGAAACGTGCATGAACCAGCCCCGGTCTTGGCTAACCAATCGGTTCAGATACCATGTAGAGTAGAAGCGGAAAGTAAGGCATTGGAAAAAGGGTTTGTTTTGCCTGATTTAAACATGATGCCGAATGAAGATGATGTGACGATGGTGAGCTAAGAGCGGAAAAAATTTACGAAAGACTTCTTGTTTTTCCGGATCTCGAATTAATTGGTATATTATTATTATTATTATTATTATTATTATTAATATATGTGGGCGTAAAAGGTGATTGTATAAATACTTGGCGCAAGGTAAGGATTGCAGCCTGGTGGATTTTAGTATAGGATTACTATATGAATTAGGTGAAGGATGTAAAGAATTTTGAAGATTGATCAAATTTATTGGATTTCTTGATTTTGGTGTTTCAGGAAATATACACACCAACGTTAAATTGGTGGTTTCAGGAAATATACACACCCATTGAATTGACACCTATCTTTAACAGGTTTTATATAATTTTTTTAAAATAGATAATTTAAAATCTATATTTTTAAAAAAGCATTACATTAACATTTTTTATATTATTAAAATATTTTTACTAAATTTATCCTTTTATATATGCTTTAAAAAAGAGTAGAAGGATACACGTGCAATGCAACAAGATACATCTCGATTTTAATATTTGGTTTTAGCATCGATGTTATAATACAATTTTATATGGTTTTTCATAAAGCAATAATTATTTAAAAGCTTTAGAATTTTTTTAAACTTTAAATAACAACAAACAAAATCTGTTAAAGTAAAATAAAACCTATTTTTTTTAAAAACCTATTGAAAGATATCTTTATACGTTTTTTTTTAAATAAAACACGTATTCAAAAAGTATTGATGCATATATAATTATTGAGTAACTAACGGATTGGCTTATATGTTATGGATTTGGTCATTATCTTGGTTTGTTATATAATAAGCCTTCATTTACCAAAATGGCCGTCTATTATGATCGTTAACTGTCACGGCAAAACATAATTTTACATTTTTCTTTAATTTACAATGTTATTAATTGCATTTTTTCTTTTATTGAATATTTTTATTAAAATAATGATATACTTGATTTTAGTTTTTCTTTTGTCTTTTTCAGTGAACCAACGAGATAATGCCATGTGGACACCACTCATCATCTTCTCCTACATCCCTCCCTACCTACCGTACACCGGCGCCTTCGTGAAGACCACTCAAATCCAAATTCAAATTTACTGATCTACAGTGAAAGACCCTACGACCGACGTGACTTAAATCGATTGTGGATTCATGAAATCTAAAATGATAACCCTAGATTCTCAGATGAAGGACGACTGTTGACAACAGAGATGAGAGATGAAGAAAACCTTGGTGAACTAGAACTCACCGGCACTGCTGTTGTCGGATCGGAGATACTACCACCAAAGAGAGGTTGTATAGGTGGGATATTTGATTTCTAATATGGTTTGTGTCGGAGATGAGGGGAGAGAGATGATTCGATTTTAGATCTAATGGCGCGGAGGTATGTTGTTGGTTCAGATCTGATTTTCTAGCCTGGGACGAGAAGGTAGTGATGGGCGTCCACCCTTTCTGCCGGAGATGATGTTGTGGGGGGTACTGTTTACAGACCAGAGGAGGAGTTAGGACTGCATAGGAGATGACAGATTGTGGCCGACGCGTTTTTCTCACCCTAGGGGGAGGGGAGGGGAATGACTATAAAGATCGGGAGAGCGAGAAATAACACTTGCTGTAGTGTAGGGTACGTTTGGAAATTGGTATGGAGGGCAACACGGTTAAACAAGGATCTTCCTTCGTGTCTTTGAAGCAAGATTCAAGGGTTTCCTTGCAAATACATAATTATCTTTAAACCTAAAATCAATTTTTTAAACTAAATGTTCGTTCATTCGTTACCTTACCTTGTTAACACCGTTAAATGTATACAAAGATTAAAATGCAATATTGAAAAGTTGGGATTTTAAAAATAATAATTTTTGACAGTAGGTCCTACACCTACTTTTACACACCGTGCACCGCCAGTGCTTAAGGGCCCCACCTGGCCATTTAAAAAATATTTTTTGTAAAATGTAATATTTTTGTTTTATAAATTTATTTATTTTTAAAAAAATTTATGTTCAATTTTCTTCTTCCTAATAAAACACTATTTAATTTTATCTTTTTTAATACAACATTATTCAAAATATTAAAAAAA